GCCGCTTCCGCTTCCAATTCAGCAGAGACGAGTTCCGAAGCATCAATGCCACCCTCCTTGCCCAAGTTGGAACCTGCCGTATCGCTTGGTTGCCTTGGGGCCAGGATACCACCGTCGGCAACATGGACCTCGACATCCTCTTGACCAAGGCCTTCAAGCTGTACGACCCCAGCCAGACCCGAATGCGTCTCTGGGGCGGAGAGCACTGTGACTTCTCTTGGCAGTTTGGTGAGAAGTATGCCCAAAAGTTCTACATCTTCTGAAGGCTGTAGGTCGACAGTAATGAATCAGAATTGCATACGGTCGAAAGTTGGCCTGGCTCTGTTTGCTTTTGGTTGGCTATGCTATTGGCCTAGGATTTGCGTAAGATGATCAAATGGATTGATGAATCAGGACATGCGGCTCTATGCCATAATACATGGAGTTCCGATAGATGAGATAGGAGATAGCCCTAATAATCCATTGACTTCCCGCGAGTACATTCAGATATCTTCCACGATGACTGGTTTGCTTGAGATGTTGTGGGTGTGGACCTTTCGGAACTTTCTCGCTCAATCAAATTATCGTGGCTCGACGGCCCACGTGATGGGATGCCTGAATCCTACAGGATCACTCGATGGCAACATACAACAGCCATCTGACCGCATCCCGTCTAGATTTGGTGAAGAGAGAACTTCGATAATCATTTTCTCAAGTTAGCGACCATTCTTGAGTCATTGCCAACAATTCGGCGTCGCGATTCCGCTGTCGCTAGGTTCACGATGGCTCCTGATATCTTGCCCAACTTTGCTAGAGTGTGAGTGACCTTCTACTGAGTTTCATCCATATGCTACTGCTACCCTCTTTCCCAAGCTCCCCATCCGTCATCGCCCGGATGATTGTAATCTTGTGGATGATGACAACGACAAGCTACCGGGATATGAAAAGGGGACTACCTACAGATGACTACTCAGAACATGACATCCCCTTCTCTACAATTTACTAACTAAAGTCATTCAGAGCCCTTAGTATCTTAAGCCTCATCTCATTTACACCGCAATATCACCGACTCCGTGAACAAGGCCACTGCAACGGCCTTTCACTCTACTACGTGCTCTTCAACCTCCTGAGCGCCACTGAACAGCTCACCATTGGTCTCTTTCTCAACATCAACAATGGCGCATCTCTCCGGCCCGACGCCTTTGTCAATACCCCAGCCACAGCGGGCGACTGGCTCAATCTCAGCCAGCTGATGATTGTCTGGCTTTGTTCTATCTACTTGTGAGGGTCCTGAAGATTGAAAAGCGATTGCAAACCTGTCTATGAGCTTGGGCTTACCCCTGTCCCCCTAGGTTCACTCTGTCTATTCGGAATGCGTCTCAAAGCCACGAAAGAAGAATCCAAAGAGGAGCCGCCATCACAATCTTCGTCATTTTTCTTTCCTTCAGCATCATTCCAGTCCTCATAGACGCCAGTCTGCCATCATCCCGATCCGAACCACGTCGATGGACCCAGGATATCTTCGCTTTGCTCCATTACGTCCTCCTCATCCCACTGTCCACCGCATTCATCATCGTCGCCGCCATTGCACAAGCACGCGAGATACGCTCTCGAGGTGGCGACGCAGGCGCCCTTAGTCTTCCTGGTCTCACTTTCCAATGCATCACCTTTACTCTCGTGGCGATATCCTGGGTTGTTCGCGTCAAGTACCCGCCGTACTCGCCGTCTTGGGTCGAGTGGTATCGGTTGATTGGATGGACTGTGGTTAATGATAGTCTTATTGGATGTGTGCGAGGTTTCCTGCTGGTGATAGCCCTGCGCGAAGGCATGGATGAAGGATGGGGGTCATTTGAGAGACAGCCTTTGTTGGGTTTCTCGTGAAAATCCCGTCGCGAATCGGTACTCTCATATTATCAACCGTCTTGGGGTTCGAGAAGACGAGTTGACATAGTCATTGAGGTCCCGCCCTCACATACTCATCCTCATGATCCTCAAACATGATCGAAATCTCAAAAGTTCTTCATCCCCGCGGATCGTGCACAGAGCTTTGATTTCCCATGTTCATCCTACGCGACTCTTGGCGTGCTAGGGTGTTTGTTTCCGCAAGTTGAACAAAGCCTGGCTGACTTTTGTTTCCAACCCCTCAGTTGCAAGTCCCCGCTCAACGTCTTGGCTAAAAGTCACCTTCCGAATAGAGATGCTCTTGGCGCATCATCGACTCGGCGCATTCGAGATGACATTCAAATAATGTTTTCACATCTTTCAAGACATTATCTCTCTCCGTCGGAACTCTCGGCTTTACATTCACCATGCCTAATGAGGAAACAATGTAGTAGGCCTCGAGCTGCACAAGCCGCGACAGAGATGATAGAGAAAAACCGATACCGTCCTGGAAGTTTGGACGAGCTGACAGCCAAGTGAACAGTCCCTCGCCTTGTCAGCACAGCCGTTGGTCTTGGATAGATACCGCCGCCGTGATTGGTCAATGGCTCTACAGAGCTGCAGATCTACCTTCACGTATGGTCCGAGGAACTTTTTACGCCCTACTAACTCAAAAGTCCTCTTGTTGGCTTCCCTTCAGCATTTAGGGCGCTCAACTCACCGCCAACGAGAGAGCTAAGCTTTCCATAATTTCCAGCTTCCCGTTATAGTTCTCGGCATACATGAGATTGAGTTGCGCCGCTCTTGGGACCATTGCCCCAGTTGCGCTTGAATACAATTACCCCTCAACTGGAGTCACTTCTCTGCCGAGCTTCAAGTATCATTCCGTACGGATGTCAGCAGTCGTGACATCCTTGTAATATGCCGCTTGGTGAGGAGATGAGCTACAGCATCTCATTGATGCATCGGCCCACCGCCTCGGAAGATTGGGCAAGTATATAAGGGCCTAGACGACCCAGTTTGACCCATTCCAGGAGGACTCTATTTAAGTGTTCATCGTCATCAGCTGCGGAGCCTTGCTGTCACCATGCGCCTGACTTCTCTCCTCGCGGCCCTTGCCGCCTCCTCGGCCGCCGGCTCGTTTGTCGAGCCTCGTGACCCGAACAAGTTGTTCACGCTGGAAATTGCTCCAGGCCAGACAGTCACCGTCACAGAGGAGGAGAAATGGGAGATGATGGATGTATGTGACCGCCGTTCTTCATTCCCGCGAGCGCAGCTAACACTTCTAGAAACGCGTCCACTTCTTCGACATCACAGAATGGTCAGATGTCCCCGCCGTCGCCTCCTCCGCAGACTTCAAGCTTCTCGCCGCCCTTCCCTTTCCAACGCAGATGAATCAGACGTGCCAAGTCAACGCCCTGATTCCGAAGCTGAACAAGGACAACATGCGCGCGCATCTCGAGCGCTTCTCGTCCTTCCACAACCGATACTACCTCTCCAAGACGGGCGTTGAGTCTGCAGAGTGGCTGTATGGCCAGATCAGCGCCGTCTTGGATGTTGCGGGACACCCTACGGCCAATATCCGCTACGTGCGTCATACCGCATGGTCGCAGCCCAGTATCATTGTTACGATTCCCGGGCGTAACCAGCGGACTGTTGTCTTGGGTGGACATCTTGATTCAGTCATTTCGGGAGATCGTGGCGCTGGCCGTGCGCCTGGTGCTGGTAAGTTCCAAACTCTCGATGCCAATGCTTCACGATCGATGGCGGAGAAGAGACTACTAATGCCACTGTACCAGATGACAACGGCTCCGGATCCGTGATGATTCTCGAGGTCCTTCGTGTCCTCCTCTCCGATCCGAAGATCGCGTCTGGTGACATCCTGAACACCCTAGAGTTCCACTGGTACGGCGCCGAAGAGGCCGGCCTTCTTGGAAGCCAGGATATCTTCACCCAGTACCGTGCCTCTAACCGCCAGGTCGTGTCAATGCTGCAGCAAGACATGGTTGGCTATGTCGGTCGCGACGGCGTCGAGAGATTCGGAGTGGTTACGGACTGGGTAGACCTCGACCAGGTTGCGTTCATGAAGCGCGTCATTGACACTGTGAGTCACCTTTTGTCTTTTATACTCTTATAGCCTGTCTCCATGATAAGAATTCAAAGATGTGCAAGCGCTGATCCACGTCTTTTTCAGTACACCGATATCTCTTACGAGGAGACCGTCTGCGGATATGCCTGCTCCGACCACGCGTCTGCCAACCGCAATGGCTATCCGTCGTCATTCATCTTTGAGACACCTTTTGGCAACCATAACCCGTACATTCACAGTCCAAACGACACGATGGAGCATGTCTCGTTCGATCACGTCTTGCAGCACGCGAGGATGGCGACCGGATATGTGTATGAGCTGGCGTACTGGCCCTTTGCATAATGTTCAAGGTGGACAACCATCGAACGAATGCCTCGAAGGCGTCGGATCTTCTTAGGACATTGAGGCATGATGAAAATTTTGCCTTGGTGAAGACGCATGTAGGGTAGAGAAATCAATAATGATAAGTGCAATTTAGTCACAGACTCGATCAATTTGCAAGGGCAAACTTTCTGATGATGGGACTCGAAATCATGAAGTTTACCATTACAGTTTGTGACTGAGATGTTCTGACCAAAACCAAAAGCCAAAAGAAATGAGCTATCTATGGCATTATGTAGGACCACCAATTTCGAACTCGCAACCTTTGCAGGACCCAATTATGCGTTAATACTTCCTCCACTAGATCATGTACACTTCAGACGCCACTCATGCCTTCCTCTCACAATTTTCGTCCTACGGCCTTGGCCAGGTAATTGGGTGGTAGGTCTATATTCGTGCGTGTTCAGTGTGACCAATAGTGCCTCAGCTCCCCTTCGTAACCTGCCTTGCTCAGCCACAAGGCATGAGTAGCTTTCTCTATTATGCAGCACTTTGGGTTCTCTGCCTTTCAGGTAGTATACGATGATTTCGGAAAAGTCGAGGTTGAGGTACTAGGTCATCAGAATCATAAGTTTGAGACTTAGTCAGAGTCAACTTGTCCTATTCACTGATCTATCTAAGGACAAAGAAAGCATGCTAGTATCCTCCAGTGAATCCAATCCGAATGCCCTTATTTGGGGCAGCCAATACCCCAGCCGGTGGTAGTGGAGCAGCAGTCGGCATCCTGTGATATCAAGTATGAGTACTTATTCATGTAGAAGCGGGACATTTTGAGGAGAAAAGCTTACGCAAGTCTTGGTGATCGGGTTGCCTCCGAGCATGACATTCTCGCAGAAGCTGGCACTCTGCTCAGCGCAGTAAGCGGCGCTGGTGCCACGGGCAGTGCCGCCCTTGTTCTGGTTGGTGCAAGCCTTCTGGCCCTTGCCCCAGCAGCAGTTGTCGAGGACGGCTTCGCCGTTCAACCAGCTGTAGATGCGGCACTGTATTGGCTATTAGTAGCTGGGACAAGACATGGTTTCACTGAAGTGAAAGACTCACAGAGGCGGCGAGAGTGCCGGAGGTGTAGGCAAGGCCGATGAGAGCGATCTTGGAGAACTGCATGATGGAAGATTTGAAAAGGTTGAAAGTTGCGAAGTTGAAAACGAAGTAAGTGAGAGTAAGATTGTTGAGAGAGTGTGTTGATAGTGAGAGACTGTGAGTTGACTGTGTGAGTGTGGTGATGAGAATAGTTGGATTGTATGGGAATTTGTCACTTACTTTATACCAAGTGAAATGCCACAGTTGATGCTCGAAGACGGCATCGCCGGCTCATGGAATGAGTATGTGTATGATTCGGTTTCGGATTCGAGAACAGACCATTCATGATGGTCTCTAAAAGAACGCTACAGACTCTACGGAATAATCAAAGAAGCGCAAAATGCAATCAATACGGTGCGTCTCAAAGTAAGCCTACAAACCTAACATAATGGAGTAGGCGAGTAGAGTCTGTAGGCCAAAGATTCAAAGCAGCTAGTGTAAGGCGGCTGAGCTGTATCAAAGAGTAAAAACGCCCCACAGGCTGCACGGATGACAACAAGTCACAATATATTCGCAAAAAACCATTTACAAGTGAGCGTCTAGGCAAGTACTCAAGCCGAGTCAGTCTCATTAGATGAACTCGGAAGCCGATCATGTCCGTCTTGAGTTGATTGACAGCGCATACCAAGGCGGCTATGCGGGGATGCCGAGCAGGAGGTGGGATGCCTAGCCGTATCCTCACAAGTAAAGACGAACTGGATCTTCAAGTCAGTCCAAACTTTGTTCGTCTAGTAACGTGGCTGAGATGATAGAAATGTTGAAATTGCCTATTTAGGACACGTAAATCGAACGATTGGACCCCCGCTTAGTTATCACGGAGCCATGACTCGACTACCGCTTGGGCATCCGAAACCGACCATGACACGGCATTCTATGTAGATGCGAGTTGAATTTGCCTCACGGGATCTGCACTTTAGACGGCAGACCAAGGTAGAAAGAACAAACGTATTCATTAATAGCTCATACTCGGGCCATCTGGTGGCTCGACAAGTCGTCGCAGGGCTCGTAAATGCCCCACCATCTGGCCAGAGCTTCGGCACATCACCGTAGCTTGACTAGATATCCCTGACAATTGTCTCTTGACTTCAGATCGCATCTTCAGACGAATTTGGGATACCAACTTATCAAGCTTTTGTGATGGAACGAGGCTAAGCATCCATCGTCTTAACCGTGGTTGTGTTGGCCTAAGAGAATCCCGACTGAGCCATAGCGTCACGATCTGAGTGTCTTTTCCAGATTTTGGAGATGAACTTGTGAACTGCGTACCTTATTGCTTTACGACGAAGAGATACCCTCGTGTATATAAGTCATCGACTTGACTCTCCTTTCACCATCTACTTTCCTACCTCATCACTCACAATCATTACAACACAGTCAAACTCGACACATCTCACTCACAGTCTCTCACTACTACAAGATTTCTTATATCTTCACTTTTTCACCCATTTTTCAAAATGCAGTTCTCCAACATTCTCTTGGCCGCTCTTGCCACCGCTAGCTCCACCGTCATGGCTGCTCACGTATGTGCTTGGCAACATGCCTCAATAAGATGATACGGGCACACTAACAAGCTGCAGTGCGCGATCGGAAACTCTGTTCGTACTGACTGCTGCTGGGGAGGCAATGATGGATACAAGTCCTGCCTGCGACAGAACAGCAACCGGGTGTGTACACCTCTTTCGGTCAATGATGGAAAACAGTACTAACGGACAGAATAGTACTTCTGCGAGGCCGATACCGCCAATTACTGCACCAATGTCAAGGGACCCAATGGGGCTATGGTGTCTACTACTTGCGTAAGATGCAACACTGATTCGAGATGAGCTAGTTCTTACTGACCCAATACCAGGATGCTGACTGCTGCAACACTCTCAACGGCTGGGGAACCGGCTGCCCCAAATAGATAGACTATGAGGAGAGATGATCTAGCGGATTGAGATTGGTTCAAATTAGATAGAAGGAGATGGTCATGATATATCTAGCAGACTACAAAACAATGACATTGCTCGCTCTATAGAAACTTCACCTTCAAGTACCCCGGCGGGATCAAGTGACAGACTTCCGTACACCATCAAGCTCTCATTTCTCTAGTAGGAAACTCAGTACACAACAGATGCATAGCAAACAAATTGCTTCAATGAAACCTCTAGTAAAGTATCATTTTGCACAAATGATTTCCGACAGTAGTTAAGACAACAAATATCATACTTCGACTTGAGTTGTCACCAAATTATCCGGACGATTCTGTGCAGTTTTCCACCATGTCCGAATTTCGCTTCATTTTTTGTCTATCATCACCACCCCTTACAGAACATCGCCTCTTGGCTCCTGCCAAGACTACAAGAAGGTTCAATTACTCTTGAAGGCATTCTTTCGCCTACCCAATGAGGCTCTACCATTTAACAACTCGGGCTTGGTATGCGGGGTTCACTTAGATTTCATCGCTGTCCCTACGTGAACTACCCCATAAAATAGACTCTGCAATATGGAGCAGCTATCAAGTGACAGCCGTGCTTCCGTGCTCGTAGTCTCACATTAAGCTACTGTTCCCTGCAAAGCTAAATTCCTTGCGTCGTAAGCCAAGTTCGTGCCAACGGCCTGGAGCAGAAGATGGCCCGTGATGGTATATGCAAGTCAGGTACAGATAGATCTTAATCAACCCAAGTCCTCGGTATCGCGCCCTCTTGAGCCGAAAAAAATGCTTGAATCAAGACTATCCATGCGCTGCACTCGCAACTATAGCGCGGCATCGGATTGTAGGTTTGGACCGCTGAGTGGTACCGCAGCCAGGCAAGGCACCCTCACAGCCCTACGAGGTGTTGTGGATACCGGGATTTGATGGGAATCTATCTCGGATCACCCGTAGGTGCACTAGACTGTTAGAGAATGCACCGCCTTCTGCGAACTTAGTTCAGTCTCATTGCGTTGGAAAAACTCCTTTAGATTATCCTGTCAAGAATTGAGTATTTGTGCGTCTATTCTGGAATCGGGATCACCGAGAATATGGCCGCGTCGGGTTCATAGGAGAATGAGGAAACCCATTTACGAGGCTTGGAGGATATAAGAAGCGTTGAGGATCCTTCTCAATATCTTTTGTCTCTCATCATCCTCACACTTACACATCCAATTCACTACCAGTCTTCCACTCTTTTCTATATCAACTCTCATTTCAAGATCAGATTTCGATCATCAACCTTCATTCAAAATGCAGTTCTCAGTCGTCATCACCGCCATTCTCTCAGCTGTCGCTGTTCCTGCCGTTCTTGCCGCTGAGGTAAGCTTTCTAACTTTCCAACCATTCTCAGTCACAAAGCAACTGACAATGAAATAGTGCAAAGTCGGACGCAATTACCCCCAGACAGACTGCTGCTGGGGCAAGGGCCAGAAGTCTTGCATGAACCAGAACGGCGATTCAGTCTGGTGCGCGTCCAACTCGGCCAACTTCTGCTACAACGTCATGAAGCAGGGCACCAACACTCCTGTGTCCGCCACCTGTGTAAGTCACTGCAACTTTCCTGAGGTTGAGCTTGTTACTGATTGCTGAATAGGATGCCGACTGCTGCGACACTGTCACTGGCTGGGGTATTGGATGCCCCAAATAGACTCAATCAGGAGGGTTGAAGGGGAGAAATGGAATGATTCTTCTGTTTCAGAAAGCCCAGCTCGATAGAGAGAAGTTTGTTGATATGTATCTTATATCACCGATTCCTGTCTGGCACCTGGAGCAGAGCAGACTCCGTTAGATATGAAGAATAGATTCATGTGTGCAATCCTTTACTTGAATTTCACTAAATTGTACGTCCTTTGTGAACAAAACATTTCTACGATGCGATTACGTCCCGTCATGATGTTCGTGAACAATCCTAAAGTACCTAACAGGTGTTGAGTTGGTTGTTTGCGACGAAAGGACTACAATTCCTGAAGCAAAGTAATTAGTATTGATAGCTATCGCCAAACTAGACGGACTGACAGTTGAACTATGAAACTCCGAATACAAGCCAAGAGTCTTTCAACCTGTTTTATTAATTGTGCGTCCTTGGCCAATGCAACTGTCGTTGAGAAAAGTGCAACCTCGGTTGCGACTCCCGGTACCTCATTGGCCACCATAGAATGCCAAGTTTCGACGTGTTCATACCGAACTGATCGCCAATTGTGTGTTGCGACGTCAAATGTCATCTCAACTTTTATCCATCTTAACTCCGTCATCTCGGTCAGCCATCGCCGTGGGGGTTGTAGTCGGGGTCTTTCCTCCGAATCCCAACTACATGTGTGCAACGCTGCTCGCTTGCAGATGTTTCGCGTCTCCCGCGGATACCGCACTGAGATTACCCCGCATCGCCAATTCGAGATGGATGGAATGTGTGGTTGGTCGCCTAGTGTCAGATCCTAGCCAGGGGTCTTCTTGCGGATACTCCCGGATGGTGGCGGCCTCTCAGAGGAACCCTTGTGGTTCTTCGACTGTCACCAAGAAGACGATTGCATTGTCTCGACAATGGCCCAAGTCTCTGCCACGCGGACGACACGTTGTCTGCGACTAAGCTGTCAGCCTAGCTGCAGAAATTTAGCACAGCTTCGTGTGACCGGAGAGACATTGGTGAGCTGTGGTGAATCCCTTCTGTCCGACATGAGCCAATGAATAAGCAATTACATTGCACGATGGGCCATCTGCCGGGCTTGGCAATCTTAGTGTCGGGTAAAAGACCGAGAGGATGCAATTCCGAAGAAAGTTATGCCCCTCCAAGCATATAAGGAAATCTACCGAGAGCGGGGTGTTTGTTGTTTATGTGGTGTTGCCTAGGCCAACAGTCCTCGTCCACGTACTTACAAAACGCATCTGGCTAAACTTGGAGATTGAAAAGAGGCGTTGTCCTTCTCGGCTGGACTGGGTTGTTTCTTCTTCCAGAAATGATAAGATGGCCAAGAAATGGTGCAATTTCTACGCCCTGCATGAGACGGACCGTATCCGATTGAGTAGTTTGAGAGAGCGGGGTCCTACCAGAGTGCCGCCATCACGAACCAGATCAAGCAGCGCTAGAGCACGAAATCCACTTTTGATACGAAAGAGGCATCGAGCTCCTCGAGCTGTCAGTGATAGTCTCGTTGGCGTGGGACGCATGTGATATGGAGAAATGTGCCGATTGGCCCGAGACCCCGCACCATTGCATGAAACTTTAGGTCTCATTGAATGGGACATTGTTAATCACAGCAATCTGGAAGGAGGATAAGAAATGATGATGTGGGTGGATCTCGTCGCGTTGCTGACAATGAGGGGCAAAGGGTCTTGTTGGTGCGCCTACGCAGATCAGACTCGGAGCTTCAGGTGTAGCTCAGGCAGAGCTGTTCAGGTCTTCAGGGTTCTGGGCCTTGGTCGTCTCGAATTGTATAAGTAGGAGAGCTCGCCGGCGGGGTTTAAGCTTGGGAGAGCAGCTCATCTTGTCGAAATCAAGTCTCGGCCTACGATTTGTAAACTCGATCTTCCAAGACCGTCTTCACTACCCAGAATTCCAGCTTCCGCTTCCCTATACACAGCTTCATAATGGGTATCTCCACTGAAGTCCCGCAGACCGTCGAGTGGTCCGGGAAGAGGGTCCCCGTCTACCCCATGGAGACTGTGGACTTTGGACGCGTCCTCTCCCAAGAGCCAGCCGAGCTTGAGAATATGCTCCGCATTTGCCAGCAACAGGGTTTCTTCTACCTGGACTTGAATGGCCTCGATGGCAGCAGATTCCTCGACGACCAGCAAAGGACTCTGGAGCTCATGCACCGCTACTTTGAGGCCCCTATCGAGGATAAGAACGAGCTCGGTCTCATCACCGCACATCTCGGGTAAGTGTCGGCCGCATCAATGAGACTGGAACACTCAGAAAATGCTCATGGCTTAATTCTAGATATGAGCCCGTCGGCTCACGAACGGGTGGTCTTCCCAATACCAGAGACGGATATGAGATGTTCAAGGTGAGCTTTTATCCTGAGACTCCCATGATGGTTGAACATGAGCTCCAGCTAACCTTCTCCATTCCAGGTCTCCCGTGATGAGATCCAAAGATCCGACCCCAAGTTCCCCAAGATCCTCCAGAACGATAAGGAGAAGGCAATTCTGAAGAACGCCATCTCCGGATCCAACCTGGTTACCAAGACCGTCCTCTCCGGTCTCTCCACCGCCATGGGCCTCGTCGGTGCCGCCCGTTACGAGAACGCCCACCGCAACGACCGCCCTTCTACCTCCACACTGGCAATGATGCACTACGTCCCCGCCGACCCCATCAAGGACACCCAAATCGGCCACCAGAAGCACACCGACATCAGCTCCCTCACCCTCCTCTTCGCCGAGGAGTGGGGACTTCAGATCCGCCCCCCCGGCACCAAGGAGTTCGGCTTCGTCGCTCCCAAGAAGGGGTGCGCCATCATCAACGTTGGCGACTCCCTCCGCTTTGCCAGTGGCCACACCATGATGTCGTGCATCCACCGTGTCGTCCCGTACAACTCTGAGAAGCACCGCTACTCCATCGCTTACTTCCTCCGCGCCGAGAACGACACCATGTTCAAGGACAGCGAGGGCAGATACGTCACTGCTGGCCAGTGGCATGATGAGAAGTTCTACCTCTTCAAGGCCACCCCCGATATCCAGGCTCTTGCCCCCCCATCCATGTTGTACGGCGGCATGACTGCCGATGAGGAGTGGACTCCGTACGCGCAGCCGACCGCTAAGGCGCACGCGCCTGAAGTGTCTGAGGAGCTTAAGCAAGCTCCGGCTGTGAAGGAGACTTTGGTTGAGGCCCATTAAGCGGCAGCACTAGTGTAGATAAATGAGACCAAATACATGTACCTACGTTAGCTTGACTTATCACTAAGTGGGGGATTTCCCTTGAGGGATTCACATTTGAATGAAACGGTCTGTGTGATAAAAATGACATTGTACCCTTCATCAAAATTGTGAACAGAAAAGCGCTCTTGTAGTACAACACAGATCCCGTATCCGATTCTTCGCCGCCTAGTTCGAGATGCCGGCATCTCTTCCCGAGATAGTCTGGCACACACTCTCGTATTCATCATGCGGTATTTCTTTTTCCTCTGCTGTACCATCTAGGTGCACGGTGATCAGAGCGGGGTCTAAATCTAGATGGCGTCAGTGGCCAGAGTCAATCGATACATCCCGCCGGACGAGCAACGTATGACAGACGAAAACGGGCAGGGTACTGAGTATCCAGTAATGTGAAAGTCTATGCCACGTCTTCAAACAGGTCTACCTCTACGGCTACATGCATGTACGCACCAGTGGCTCCGTGTTCTGACAGACCCATGAGCACCATATCATCAGCCGCGGAAACAGAGCTCTGGGAGGGAGTTTAGTTTTAGTTTGGGCTGCCCGGAACTAATTTAGGCGAGTTAAGCCCTGTCCTGGATCCTTGTTGCGATCATCAAAGCCCCTTGGAGGCTGGGGACAAGGACGCCCTCACCCAAACAGACCTGGAGCCGTTATTGTTGTCCATTGCTACCAGTATTATGTGTCCTGTTGTTCAACTTCAAACCCACCCTGTGGCTCTGTTGTCTTCCTCAGCCACCGACACCGACGACTCAAACAATGGCACCGCTTACGGGCGCCGAAAAGATGGATGAGCTGCCGCCCTACAGCCCACCAGCGGCGACAGCGGCTGAAAGTCGCCGTGTCCTCTCTTCGTCAGTGCGGCGGCGGCATCATCCGGCTCTCCAACTTTTACCCCGCAGGTCGCGAACATTGCGCGTTCTTGGTTTAGCATGCCTCGCGTTCATCGTCTACGCGCAATGGAGACAGATTTACCCCGTGGGCGGCGTCTCCGGCCCGGAATTTACGATTCATGGGCTCTCAACTCGCCAGCTGCGAGAGGATCTGTCGACTTGCGGAAAACTGCACAGTCGACCGATTGACCCGCCTGGTTACGGGAGGACACGGAACGCCCGCTACGTGGACGGCAAGAAACCCACAGTCATCAGGAACGCAACAATCTGGGTCGGGGAGCCGGTCGAAGGGTCTGCCGACTATTCATGGATTTCTGCCGACGTGTTCATTGAGCACGGCCTCATCAAACAGGTCGCTGAGGGCATAGCGATAGCCTCCCTGCCCGGAGATGTTTTCGTCTACGATGCGGGTGGGCGGCCGCTCACCAGCGGCATCATCGACATGCACAGCCATGCTGCAGTGCACTCACTGCCAACACTACACGGCAATGAGGACGTCAGCGAGCTGTCGAAAGATATCACTCCCTATGTCCGATCCATTGACGGCATTCAGCCGACGGATCATCAACTCCAGGTGATCAAGTCTGGCGGCGTTACCACGTCGTTGATTCTTCCTGGATCAAGTAACAATATTGGAGGCGAAGCCTTTGTGGTCAAGCACGCCGTCGGAGCTGCTGACGGACGCAATGAAACAAGCGTAACTGATATGCTAGCTGACCCGGATCATACCTGGCGGCATATGAAGATGGCATGTGGTGAGAATTCGAAGCAGGTCCATGGGAAGGCGGGTGAACGTGGCCCGTACAGCCGCCTCGGTGAAAGCTGGGAATTCCGTCAGGCTTTCGAGCATGCTGCCAAGTTGATTCGCGAGCAAGATGACTGGTGCCACGCCGCTGCTCAAGGTTTTGACAATGTCCAGACTTATCTCAGCCACGACCTAGAATGGGAGGCACTGATTGCTGTGCTCAGGGGCCAAGTCCATGTTCATGCTCATTGCTACACCATTAATGATCTCGAGGCTTTCGTGGATCACACGAATGAGTTCAAGTTTCCCATCCGCGCATTTCATCATGCCCACCAGACGCATCTCGTGCCCGAGGTAAGTATTCGCAAAGCCCTTGATGGTATCTCCCATTGCTGCGTCTTTTACTCACTCGTCATTCCCAAGATTCTCAAACGGGCATGGGGAAATAATCCACCAGCGTCCGCCCTCTTCGCCGACAACATGTGGTACAAAGCCGAAGCTGCTATGGGCTCAGAATACGCGGGAAAACATCTCTATGATGCTGGACTGACGCCCATCTACGTGAGCGATAATCCGGTGCTCAATGCACAGCACGTCGTGTTTGAAGCTGCGAAAGCGTACAAGTATGGTCTGCCTTACCACGCTGCACTGGCATCCGTCACCACTGCCCCAGCTGAGAGGCTGGGAATGGAGCATCGCCTCGGTAAAGTCAAGCCTGGCTTTGATGCCGATATCGTCGTCTGGGATAGTGACCCATTGAGCGTTGGGGCTACGCCAGTCCAGGTCTGGATTGACGGTACTGCTCAGTATGACGAACCAGTCAGACTTAACAAGACCTATGAGGGTACCATAGTCCCCGATGAGAATCTCAGCGAGGTTATCGTAAAGCCTCAGATCATGCAGGGCGACGTTGTCTTTACAGGAATTTCAAAAGTACTACACTCCGTAACAGTGAGTGGCTTAGCAGCCAATGGGAAAACCTACAACGTAGCCGTCTCTAACGGCAAGATTACTTGTATTGGAGGCTGCGAAGCCGAGCTCAAAGTTGCGTCTAGCCATGAAGGTACTCTAATTCACCTCAAAAACGGCCATCTTACTCCGTCCTTCATCGCCTTTGGCTCAACGATCGGTCTAAACGCCATAGACTCGGAGCGAAATACCGACAACGGTGCGGACGGGGGAAAGTTCAGTCGCGGTGTTGACGGGCTCGCCCTCGATACGGATAAACTGCAAGTTGCCCACCGCTATGGTGTCACCCGAGCCATCTCGGCCCCCAAATTCACGGCTCTCGGCACGCATCACGGCACAAGCACTGGGTTTCTCACCGGGGCTGGGACTACTCTCGACCGTGGTGCCGTGTTTGCTCGCGACGCTGCTGTGCACTATACTCTCGATCTTTCCGCGAAAAGCGGGGTTAATGGAATTTCATCCATCTCAGGAGGTGTTGGCGAGCTGCGACGGAAGCTTCTCACGGCAGTCTCATCGCTCGCTGCGAATGACACTATCCTTGTGGAAGACCGATACACGGAGGTCGCGTTTCTCCGAGAAGTTGTCGAAGGGCAGATGGCACTCGTCGTTACTGTGCATAGCGCAGACACCATCGCTGCCTTGTTAGACGTCAAAAGCAGTGTTGAGGAGGTTCTTTCAGAGCTCGTAGACAGCCCGAACACGCTTCGTTTCGTCGTATACGGTGGCGCCGAAGCTCACCTGGTTGCCGACGCCTTATTTGCAGCCAAAGTGGGAGTTGTTTTGGCACCAATGCAGTCTTTTGCGGTTTCTTGGGATCAGCGACGAGCGCTTACAGGCGCGCCTTTGACAAACGGCACAAGTGTAGATGTCTTGGCTCAGGCTGGAGTTGATGTGGCTATTGGCTTGGAGGAGGACTGGATCGTGCGAGACCTTGGCTTGCTCGCGGGCGCGGCGTTCAAAAATGGCGAAGGGCGGCTGAGTGAGAAAAGTGCATTGGACTTGGTCGGAAGGAATGTGTACAGGATCCTCGGTCTGGAGGATGAACTTGAGGATGAGCACTTTGTGATACACGAAGGGAGTCCGCTTGAGATTGAATCTAGGGTGCGGGCTGTTGGTGACAGAGGACCGGGCCTATTAGTTTTCATCTAGGAAGGGGGCACTATCGGGCAGAACACAGAAGAATTGACTAGACATAGAGTTCGACAAGAGACGCGATTGAATGGAAGTATCCGCGACCTGTATAGGTACTCTCTTGGAATCGGTCTAAGGGGTCTTTCTAATTCGTAAAATGGGCAACGTTGTCGACCACAAGACTCTGTATCCCAGGGCCACGTACATCTTCCAACGGCGCAACGAAGGCCATTTGGCTCCAGCTGAAAAGTGTGTTACGACCCCCATACACAAACACTTCGAAACGCCCTGCGAACTGTCCATTGATCCAGGCCATGCTTCCATGGAGCACGTCTGTGACGATGGTGACGTTCGCAGGGAGCTTCGATATCGTAACTGCCTCGTGTGTCGAAGTAGATACGTTCGACCAAATCCGGCCTGGGTGCCCAGGGTCAAGCTGCATAGCATCTCGTTCGCTCACGGACCGAAGAGGATAAGGCCATCCGTCCGCAGTGAATGAGAGGCTGCCACCTTCATCTAATGCGAGAGCGGTATCAGGACCGGACAGTGTGAAAGGTCCAGTGACAGCCAGCGTCAGGGTATAGTTCATGCCCTTACTTCCATGGCCAAGGTGTACTGCCTCAGACTCATTGGTAGAACGAGACCATGAGACTAATGGCCCTTTGCATGTAGGCTTGGACTTCGTCACTATACGCTCAAGATTCTGCCCCGGTGCGAGAGGCGTGAAGAAGTCAATGCTAGGCGCAACCCCTTCGTCTACGAGCTGTGCGCCACGGCTGCCACTCCACGCGCGTGCTCCGACCAGCGCTATGCCTCGGCGCATGGCATAGTACGCCTCCAGCTGGGTAGAGGCATCCGGGCCGTTGTCGTTCCAAGCCGCAAGAATGGCACCTCTGTTTGCCGGTGAACTATCTGATAACTGCATGGTCTTGTTGAACGGGTTAAAATCCGCCGGTGTCCACTGCCACTTAGGCTCGTTGGCGAAGTTGAGCACTCGAGTTTCGTTGTAAAATTGGGGGTAGCGAGCAGGCAGAATTGGCATGTGGTCGTTCTTAAGAGACATGTATGCCCACCAGTCCTCGGAGTTGATTATGTCGTAGTCATTGTTTGATAGCAGAACCGGGTCCGATTCGCCGTACTGCCAGTGCTGAATTACTACGTCTTTGGAGATAGTCTTGTTTTCGGATGGCTCGTTTGTTCCCCAGATCCGAATTCTCTTACCG